AAAAAAAAAAAAGAAAATAACTTTGTATTTGTCTGTAAAATATGGAAACGTCTATAGATTAACTTGAAATGTCTACCTCCTATTATCTTTCTCTGTCTCATCCCTTTAATTAAAAACAAAAAGTTTAAAGTTCATCCTAATGACCTTGTTCTTTGTTTCTGAAAAGGTCTCACACATTCCCATTAAAGTTGGTGGTACTTGTTGAATTTATCTTAAAGGAAAAGGTTGGTGGCACAGTCAACATTGCTGCCTATCAAAGTGTGAGAGAACATAGCCCAACATGTAGTTAAAACCCAGTAATGTCATGTCATTGAGCATTGGTTTTCAAGGAAGCTGAGGCTTCTCAGAGGTCCGTGACTCTGTACATCTATTGGTGGTGGTTACGCCTGCTTACTGGTTTCCGTTCTAACACTTTTATGGATCTCAGGAGAAGAGATGAAGAGAGCCCAAACTTTGGAGTGGAAAGCAATGCCAAAAATGACTAGCTCACTAGTTCAAACTTGGCTGCACATTGGAATCACTTGGGGATTTTTAGAAAACAACAACAAACAACAACACTGAAGCCTGAGACCTAATTCCAAAGATCTTGACTTGATAGGGTAGTGTGTGGCCTGGACATCCTGAGTTTTAAAACTCCCCAGGTGATTCAATTATATAAGCAAGGTTGAAATCCACTGATATAGGTAATTTCATTCACTTTATAGAGAAACTGAGGACTTATGACTGACCTGCTTAAGCTTGCAGTTACGGAGTCTAGTGCCTTTTAACTATGGGTCTTCCTGCCCCCCACACCCCCCCGCCCTGTAGCTAATCTGTCATAAGTGGAAGCAGTTTCCCTTTTTGCCTTGGGGAAATGTGGTTTTCCCTTGTCCATTTTTGACATACCAGCTGTTTTTAAATGTCATCCTTAGCGTTATTGTTTTGAAATTCTTACTCAGGGAGAAAAGGGTGAGTGAAAAGTTCGAAGTTGGCTCTTCAGAGACTCATTTCATTTCTCTAACATTGATTGCATCCCAACTTCTCAGCTGCTTGTTTTCTAAGAAAAGTCTGCCCAGGCTCCACACATCATAGAGTCCCCTAATAAAAGCTCAAACCTCAGTAATGACCTTATTCTAGCACGTGTGCTAAGAGCCAGAGTGACTGCCTGCTGGGATGGATGCACCTCCCCCTTCCCCCATTACTAGGTCTCTCAGCTGCTCATTAATTCAACAGAAATGTGCAAAGCCTCAATTGTGGTGGCTTAAACATGGCCTGTGTTAGTAGAGCCACATGCAGTTTTGAAAGGTCATCGGCTTTTCTGGGGGTGGGAGAGGCTGGGGGTTATTTTCCTTTAGGAGCAGCTAAGAACTCAGTTTCTGGTTTGTTTTCCAGGCCGAGGGAAGAAGTGGAGGGTATGAGAAGTAGAGAATCCAATTTGAAGATTGTCTTAGGTTATATTTTGCTGCTTTATGACAATTTAAATTAAACACAACTGTTCTGGTTGCCTGAATCCCTCTCTCAGTTCCCAACTCTTACATTTTTTCTCTTCTCTCAGTCTTCCTGTATCCTGGTCACCCTTGCCTTATTCCAATTTCTGGGCAAGAGTTCTCATGTTAGGGTCTCTCACACTTGTGCAACATTTCCTGGCAACTCTCTTCCCCTGAATTTCTTTTGTACTTCAGATCTGTTAAACATTGCTTTCTCAAGGAAGCCTTTCTGACCTGCCTAGCCACCATTCCCCGACCACAACTTGACTGCACTGGGCATTTTTCTTTGTAACACTCATTGGATATGTGTATCTGCTTATTTTCTGTCTTCTCCATCAAACTCTCAGTGTTCTGAGAGCAGACACTGTGTCTGTTTTGTTCCCAGCTACATCCGCAGTGCTGAGCAATGACTAGCATATGGTTATTATGGAGACTTTACTATGGTCCAGACATATTGCTAAGCTCTTTATGTCCATTTTTTCATATAATCGTCACAATAATTTTGTGAGGTATGAACTACCATTAGCTCCATTTCACAGAAAATGAGGATCAAAGAGCTATTGAAACTTATCTAAGATTATACAGTTAATAAATAGAGCAAGTGGGATTATATTCAGACATTCAGACTCCAGAACCTGTGCTTTAGACCATTATACTGCACTGTATCCTAAGGGAGAAGTGAGAAAGTGCTGCTGTGATGGGTACTGAGAAATCCCAAACCCAGGGGTTTTGGTTATGGTCCATGGGAGGATTTTAGGGAGTTATAAAGGCTGCAGCTCACTTAACTCTTCTCCTGTTCCCTTGTCGCCTCTTGGGTGGCCTTTTGTCACTTTGAAGGGTAAGTTAGGGGAGTCTTTAAGCTCTGGATGTAATAGACAAAGGAAGCTTTGTGTAGGTTCTAGGAGACCTTGTTGTGTTTAGCCAAACCCCTTGAAAATCTAGACTGGGTTTAGGGTCTAAGGCCCGTGCTTTTGCTGTGTTTTGTCCTTGGACCTGGTTGTGGGTGAATTGGTCAAAGGTAGGATTTAGGTGTTTCTAGGACCTTTGGCCAGATACTATCACACTACCATCCCTTAACTGTCCCTGTCATTATATCTAAGGGAAGTCACCTTTTGAATAGGCCCTATGGGGCAGAAGACGGGAAGAGCTTGTGTAAAGGCACATGCGTGGAAAGCATAGATGAGGAGCTGGAGTATGGAGTATGTAAGGAGAGCAGATTGCCTGGGAAGAGAAACTAGGATGGAGCCATGACATGGAAATGCTGAATGCCAGGACAGAAGGCCCTCCTCCCCAAACTTCCAGTTTCTGTGTACAGAACTGAATACAGAGTTTCCAAACAAGGGAAATAAATGTCCAGCAATATCTTCTCTAAGAATGATCTTAGAGATATGTGTAGGGCTGATGGCAGAAGTCTATGGTTATGATTTAGTAGTGGGTGTGCTGAGCTTGGTAGCACTTGAATATTGTAAAATGGGCACTTTAGGGTGAATTCTAGGAGAGTCAGTCCTACCAATAAATCTTTTTAGTCTAGTCAAATCAAGGTAACAGCCTATGGTACATAGCTCAGAGTGACTATGCCTGTCTTTACTTCTGTTGGTTTGAATTCCACTTGTCCTCCCTCTTAATTTCTGCCTCTTCCTGGAAGACTTATCTAATTTCTTTTTCCTGTGTATTGCTATAGGCCTTCCTATCTATACCATAGATTGCTTCATTGAGTAATTTTTCTGTCATTCTTCATTGAAGGTGCTGAAGGCCACAGGTTGCATCTAAGTCCTCTCTCTGTCTCCTTAGGATGTCTTGCTCATGGTTTTGTTCCCATGATTACCACTTCTATAAATATTTTCTTATTGAAGCTAAATGATGAAATGTGAGGGGCCTTGAAGGTCATGTAATCCAACTCCCTTTGTATATTTCAACCTATATTCTTGCCAAGAGTTATTTAGCCTCTGCTTGTATGCCTCCAGTTATGGGGTGCATGCTACTTATTGGGACAGTCCATCCCATTTCTGGATAACTCTGAAAGAAAAGTAGGTCTCTCTTACTGTGCTAACATCTGCTCTCCATAGCTTTTGATCATTAGTTCTTGCACACTTTTGGATCCCACAGAACTAGTTTGTTTTCTTTCCCACTTGAAAAGTCTTCATATTTTTACAGGTGATTCTCATATCCTCCATAATTCTTCTCTTCTCCAGTTAGTTGCCTTCAGCTATATTTGATGTGGTTTGGGGTTATCTAGTGAATCTTTTTACCTTTCTCTGTGTATGATGTTGTTTGCCAAAGCTTGTCTCACAATGTAGTAGATAAGAAAAGACCTAATTCACCAAGCATGGCAAGATCATCCATTTTGCAGAGGGTGGACACCCTCTCTCCTATATTGGGAGCTACATTTCTATTAATGCAAGCTCAGCAAGAATCTACCTTTGTAGCCATCACTCTTGCCTCATGCTGTGTTCACTGTCCACTTCAACTCTTAACTTTTAATCTCACTATCCCATCTTTGGCCAAAGTATTTATTTTCTTGTGCCTTATGTTTATTGTCCTTCCTTCCTTCCTTCCTTCCTTCCCCCTTTCCCTGTCACCTTCCTCATAGCAGCTTTCTGCGCCCTGTCTTGGGCTGACTTCAACCTCCTGTCACTCCCACCCTTTCTAATAGAGAGACTCCCAGGAAACCCAGCTGTGTAATAGAACAGGTTAGGGGAAAAGGCCTGGGAAGACGATGCCACCTTCATCCGCTTGGACTCGCTACGGGATTTGTAGCAGAACTCGATTAAGGCAACCAGCATGGCTAGTCCAAGTCCTCCGATCAGGATGTAGAACACGCCCGCCACATTGCTGAGGCTCAGAGCGCTTGTCTTGTCCTAGGAAGAGGAGAAGGGAAAGGGGGGAGGGGAACAGAGTAAAGTGAGCCAAGAGACTAGAGACCATCTAAGTAACAGTATTTTACACGCATACACTCAACCCCATCACCCTCTTCAATATTCATAATAGTAGGAAAGGCTTTTTATTAACTGACAGTATTAAACATTCCCCAGAAAAATGTGTGTATGTGTGTGTATAACAATTTTCCAAGCATCATGAATATGTTTAATTTATAATTACATTCCACCCCCCATGCCTGATCTGGGGGGGATGCCACAAGAAATTTAGGGCAGCTTCTATCAAGATCTATACCTTTGGGTTTACCCCATTCTTTCAGAAAATTGTCCCTTAGTTTTCAGCTCAGTTTCTGCACTGTAGCCCTTCTGTTGCTCAGCAACACATTTGCCTTGCTTATTATGTCTCTGAGCATTTTTCTGTGAGTTGGTACTTAAAATGAACTTTACCTTATATGTGCATTTGATTTCAATTTAATAAGGCAGTTATTATACATATAATAAAAGATCTACCAATGTATACATTTAACTTACTGCTCTGAGGCCTAATTTAGGGAAAAAACTGGGGGCTTGGAATAGTAAAAAGTCAGTGAAGTAGAAATATGGGTCTATTAAATCCTAATAATTATGCTTAATTAGTGTCATTTTTCTGTTGGAGGTGCTTGCTGAAAACCACTGTAGACAGACTCAGGTGCCTGAATTTAGAAATCTGTTGCCTGCGGTAAAAGGTCTTGCACTGGCTTTGGATGAGGGTCATGGAGCAAGGTGCATAATTTCTAAGGGCTTGGGATAAGTACCCATGTCAAGAAGGGGGTGACATAGCTTGCTTTGAGGAGCCTGAGAAAGGTGGGGACTGAGGGGACAACATCTTCCCAAGTGGTGAAAACAATCAAACAAAACTGGTGGTCATAGTGGCAGGCAGTGGCTCAGGGAGAGAGGAATCTGTTTAGTGAAATTCTTGACATAAGCACGAGAACATCGTTAAGTCCTGAAAGAATACCCATCCCCAGATGTCATGATGGCTCTACCACCTTTGCTTACAGTGTTTGCTCAGGTACAAGTTTCTCATTGAAATAAATAAAATGCACACCCCAGATGGCACAGGCATATAACACAATTGATTAATTGGTGGCACTGGATAGATATAGCTTTTATATTTCTCTTTATGTATTTTTTTTCAAGTGGGGATGTAGGTGAGCCACACAAAGGGTGAACTGTCTTGCCCTAGGGATTCCTTTGACATCTGCCAATTAGAATCTGGGCATGTGGAAAGGGGTCTGTTGTTGACTGTTCTACTTGGTGCATTGTACAGGATTCAGCAGGGTTGATCTTGGGAACTGCAGCTAGAAAATAGCAGCATGTCTTCCCTTCCCAGAAGCATCCTTATCAGAATAGTTAACTAAAGCACACCCCTTTGGTGGTTTCCTATATTGGTAAAGCAGATGGCCTTTGAATATGGGTTACACTTGGAAAGGCATATTCTGGCTTTGGAAGAAGTGGAAATGATTATTCAAAGGAGTAGAATTTCATCTGCTCTGGTGTAATGGTCTGATAAAGGAAATGTGCAAAAATGAATATCGTGCATGGTTCAATAGTTGGTTGAACAAGCAAATCCCACATGGCATGACATTTTGTCATGATAGGACCCAACAATCCCTTTTATTTGAGGACCAGAACACTCAAAATATCTCCCTGTTTGTTGTTCAGGAGGTTTATAATTCTGCTTCTGGATAGTAATTTAGAGTCCTTGGAGTAATCATGGTTAGCAGAAGTTCCCATAAAACTTTTCTGTGTGGATAGGGCTAGGGTTGTGGCAGGGTGGCATGTTAATGTCTTATCAGCTTGGATCTTAGAAGTGTAGTGACAGTGATGCACAGAGGGAGTGGGTGAAGAGCAGGCCTGGGGGAAGGTGGCAGACAAAAGGCTGGGAGGAAAAGAAAATATCCTACTGACTTCACAAGCTGACCAGCCTTTCATTAGCTGAAGTACAGCATGCCTCTCTGGAGCACCAAGGCTCTTTCTGTTTCCTTCCTCATGGTCTTTTCAAGTTCACCTTGGTAGTGGATAGCCTTCAAGGATAAGGGAGTGGTGGGCATCTTCTTTTGTTACTATTTTTAGAAAAAGAAAACTAAGAGAGCATCTGCCTCCCTGGCTGTATAAGGTGGAGTGTCCACTTCTGATATATCTGGGAAGGAAGTAGGGCTAGATATTCACATGGAAGTGGAGGTTGAGGGTATATTCTATATAACTTCAGAACGAGGAAGGCCCAGTGACTGAGCATTTGCTTATGTTTGGATATGGAGAACTTCCCTCACTCCCAAAGGAGGTCTCTGGCCCATGGAGACCAGTGTATGTATGTGTGTATGTGTGTGTGTGTGTGTGGGTCACATCCCATGCAAACAAAGGAGTAAAGTAGATGGTATTGGGACTGCCACATGTTGTAGAGCACACAGTGCCATTGATCCTTCTTTATGCCAACACATATCTGTAGTAGCAGGGGTCAGGGAAAACTCTGGAATGAACAGGGCACCTGGGTCCTATCATGACCAATATCAGAAAGCAAACTTAGATTAGCACAATTGTCCAAATTTAACACAATTTGATAGGGTGTGGAATGAAGGGCTGGTGTTGGTGTCATCATAGCCCATATGTTTGAGGAGTTTACATGTAGATATGGTTTTATGATGTCGCTTATATGTGCCATTAGCTTTTTGATAGCACCGAATTTACTTCTTTTAAAGAAGGCCCAAGGCCCTGGTCTTCTGTTCATTTGCCCTTATTGACTCTATTTGACTCACTTGGTTGGAATATGATGAGGTATTTTAAGAGATAAACAACAATTCCTTTTATTTGAGGACCAGACCTCTGATTCCTCCTCTAGCCCATCGTATTCCTACAAGAAGGAACTTCCTCACAGATTTGAGTACAAACGGCTATGTTCATGCTTCACAGGCAGGTTACAAGCTTCCCAGCTATGACCAGGGAAAGGGGAAAGATGGAATTTGAATCTCTGACACCCCTCTGGGGGACCACATTTACCTCCCATCTCATAGCAGCTGTATTCCCCAAAGCCAGGCAGCTTGTTGGTGGGAGTGAAAAAGTCACAACTTGTCTTCCACCAGGAGGGGGACAGAGAGTGACAGTACTGAGAAGAATGACAGGTGAAAAGAAAAACAAAAATTCCATCTTTCAGAGTTGTTGGGCTTGTTATGGTGATGAGCCCTCCCGCCCCTTCATCTGTTCTCCTTAACCTGTTTTCTTATTTGCTGCTTCTGTCACATGGAAGGAGATTTTTTTCTTTTTCATATTTTTCTGTGCTCTTCCCATGTAATGGGGGACCGACCTAGACTCTCTCTGTGTTTCTGAGCCGACATCCCTTCCAAGAATGTATGGCTGTTGTGAGTCTTTGTGAAGAGGTTTGAGCCAGGCCTGAGGCAGATAAACTTGGAGGTTTTGAAATGACTTACATAGGAAGTTTTAGGGAGAAGTCTAGGCCTTTGGCCATAACACATCCCACACCGAGACTGTGCTGCCCCTTACCTAAGGCCTGCTAAATAAGGACTAAGTTTCAGGGTTCTCCAAATGCTTCCATTCCTTCTTATCTTCCTGGTGAGAGTGTGAACTCCTACATAGCAAAGGCTGCAACTTATGCTCTTCTCTACATTACACAGGAATTCTACA